ACAGACCAATATCCCTTATGAACACTAATTCAAAAATCCTCAACAAAACACTAGCAAACTGAATTCAGCAGCATATTAAAAGGATGATCTACCATGACTAAATGGGATTTACTCATGGAATGCAAGGACATTTCAACATTTGAAAACCAATCAATAAAATATACCACATTAACAAAATAAATGGGAAAAATCATATGATCATCTCAATTTGATACAGAAAAGGCACCAGGCAAAATTCATCCACCTTTCATGATAAAAAACATTCAACAAACTAGGAATAGAAGGAAACTACCTCAACATAATAAAAACTATATAAGAAAAACCCTCAGCAAACATCACAGTCAATGGTAAAAAAGAGAAAACTTTTCCTTTAAGATCAGGAACAAACTAAGGATGCCTACTTTAACCACTTGTGTTCAACATACTACTGGAAATACTATGATAGCTAGGGCAAATTGGCAAGAAAAAGAAACAAGAGTCGTCCAGATTGAAAAGAAAGAAGTAAAATTATCTGTTCCCAGAAGATATGATCTTATATGTAGAAAAAGTAAAGATTCCACACCAAAAAAATGGTTAGAACTAATAAATTCAGCAATGTAGCAGGATACAAAGTCAACCTTCAAAAATTAGTGCATTCCTATACAATAATAATGAATAATCTAAAAAGCAAATTCAGAAAACAATTCCATTTATAATAGCATCAAAAAGAATAAAATACTTAGGAATTAACTAACCAAGGAGGCAAAAGATTTATATAATGAAAAGTCCAAAACATTCTGAAAGAAATTAGAGAAGACAAACAAATGGAAAGACATCCCATGATCACTGATTGAAAGACTTAATATTGTTAAGATGTCAATATAACCCAAAGCAATCTACAGATTTAATGTAACCTCTGTAAAAATCCAGTAATTTTACAGAAATAAAAAAACTTATTTTAAAATTCATATGAAATCTCAAGTGACCCCAAATAGCAAAAACAATCCTAAAAAAGGAGAACAAAGCTGGACTATTCACATTTTCTGATTTCAAAATTACTACTACTGAAAATGGTTTGGTACTTGCATAAAAACAAATATATACAGACCAATAGAATAGAGAGTATAGAAATAAACCCTGGCACATATGGTCAAATGATTTTTTACAAGGATGCCAAGACAATTAAACAGAGAAGAGATAGTCCTATTAATAAATGGTGCTGGCAAAACTGGATCTCTACATGCAAAAGAATGAAGTTGGAGCCTTATCTAACACCATATACAAAAAATCAAAATGGATCCTTGACTTGAATCTAAGACCCAAAACTGTAAAACTATTAGAGGAAAATATAAAGCAAAAACTTTGTGATATTAGATTTGGCAATGACTTCCTAGATATCACAACAATGGCATAGGCTACCAAAGAAAAAAATAGACAAACTGGACCTCAAGATAATTTAAAAATTTTGTGCATCAAATGACATTCTCAAGTGTAAAAATGGCAGCACACAGAATGAGAGGAAATATTTACAAATCATACCTGATAAGGGATTATCTTGGTCCATTTGAGCTGCTATGACAAAATAGCATAAACTGGGTAGCTTGTAAACAATAAATTTATTTCTCACAGTTCAGGAAGCTGGAAAGTAGAAGATCAAGCTGCCAGTAGATATGGTGTCTGGTAAAGGTCCACATTCTCAAACACGGTGTCTTCTCCTTGTGTCCTCACATGGTAGAAGGAGCAAACAAGCTCTCTGGGGTCTCTTTCATAATGGCACTGATCCCAATCATGAGAGTTCCTCTCTTATGACCTATTACCTAGCAAACACCCCAACTCTCAATTCCATTACATTGGGGATTAGGTTTCAGTATATGAATTGAGGAGACATAAACATTCAGACCATATCCAAAATATATATAGAACTCCTAAAACATAACAACAAAAAAACCCAAATAATTAAAAAATGAGCAAAGGGCTTGAATAGATATTTCTCCAAAGAAGACATACAAATGGCCAACGAACACATGAAAAGATACTCAACATCACTAATTGTTAGGAAAAGGCAAATCAAAACTGCAATGAGATACCCCATTCACGCCCATTAGGATGGCTACTATTTAAAAAACAAACAGAAAATAACAAGTGTTGGTAAGAATGTGGAGAAATTGGAACCCTAGTGCATTGCTCCTGGGAATGTAAAATGGTTCAGCTGCTGTGGAAAACAGTACAGACGTTCCTCAAAAAATTAAAAATAGAACTACCATATGATTCAGAAATCCCACTTCTGGGTATATATCCAAAAGAATTGAAAGCAGAGTCTCAAAGAAATATTTGCACACCCATGTTCATAGCAGCACTATTCACAATAGCCAAGAGGTAGAAGCAACCCAAATGTTTGCAAAGGGATGAATGAATAAACAAATATACACATATAACAGGATATTATTCAGCCATAAAAAGGAATAAAATCCTGTCATATGCTACAACATGGATGACCCTTGAGGACATTATGCTACATGAAGTAAACCATTCACAAAAAGATAAATATTGTATGATTTCACTTATATGAGGTACTTAGAGTAGTCACGATCACAGAGACAGAAAGTGAAATCCTGATTTCTAGGCACTGAGGGGAAGAGGCAATGAGGAGTTAGTGCTTAATGGATATAGACTCAGTTTTACAAGATAAAAAAAGTTTTGGATATGGATAGTGGTGATGGTTGCACAACAATATGAACTACTTAGTATTACTGAATTGTATACTCAAAATTTGTTAAGATAGTTTATGTTATATCATTTTATCATAATTAAAAAATTGGGGATAACAAAAAAAGTTTAATATATGTGAAACCTGAGCCCCAGAATGATAACAGAAAATGAGGACGAATAAATCTTTGAAGTGATAATGGTTGAGATATTTAAAAAATTAAAACAACAAAATATAGATCCAAGAAGCTCAAAGAAACTTTTAAGATACCTGCATCATACTAGGTCCTTGTAGAAACATATGATAAATCTTGCTTTTCTAAATCTAATCTGGCAATCTGCTTATTATTTGGAGGATTTGGATCTGTGCTGTCCAATATGGTTGCCACTAGCCACAAGTGGCTATTTAAATTTAAATTGAATAAAATTGAAAATTCAAGTCTTCAGTTGCACTAGCCACATTTCAAGTGATCAGTAGAAACATGTGACTAGTGGCTACTATACTGGATAGCACAGACAGAACACTTACATCTTTACAGAAAGTTCTATTGGATAGTGCTGGTTTATAGAATCCACATTTAATTTAACTATTGATATGGTTAAGATTAAAACTACCATCATGCAACTGGACTTCTAATCATCCCCTTTTTTTTTTTGCCTCTCTTTTTTCCTGCTTTCCTTTTCATTAATTTAATATTTTTATGATCCCATTATTTTCTCTGCTGTTAGCTTATTGGTTCTCTTTCCCTCTTACGTTTTAGTAGTCGCTCTAGGGTTTATAGCAAACATCTTTAACTCATCACAGTCTATCTTAAGATAATATAATACCACTTCACATATAGTGTAAGAACATTACAACAGCATACTTTTCCCTCTTCCTGTTCTTTGAACTGCTGTTGTCAGACATTTTACTTGTGCATATGTTATGATATTCACAATGCAATTGTTAATTAGGCATGGCCATTTCCATTATTTCTCAAATGTAATTTTGTTGACAAAATTATTGGAAAATGCAAATTCCTGTAACAGAGGAGTACTATTTTAAATATTTTTTTTCACTGACATTAAAAGTAAAGATTTTAAGATAAATTTATTTTAAAGATACAGAATTCTGGCTCTTTGTAAACCAGTAGAAGATAAGAAATACATGTCTACATCATGTATAACTTTTTACATCATAAAACACAATCTTGTCTATCACTTTAAGCTTCAATTTTAGCATTGAGGACAATTATTTTTAATCTGTTACCTCAAAGGGGGTCTACATCCCATTGCTTAATGGTTATAAGACTTTAGGAAAATACAAAACTAAAGAAAATTTAGTCTTAAGGTATTAAACTATAATATATATCATTTAATAGTAACTTTACCTTAGACCCCTATGGTTCACATGTAAAACACTATGTATCATGTTCAAGATTTGGGTTTTGGTTTTGAAGATGCATGTAAATTTTATTATTTGTTTCATCTTTCTTGATTTTGCTGTTAAGGTCTTTGACCTTTTTTCATTGCTTTTTAATTACTTAGCTTCATTATGCCCATTTTTTTTCATTCATATTCTTTTTTTTTTTTATTTCAGCATATTATGGGGGTACAGATTTTAAGGTTTTAATAACATTCATATTCTTTACACTATTTTCTTTTTGTTGAGAAACAGCGGTTTCTTTATCAGCCTTCCATTCAATAGTTTACATTAAAATACCAGTGCCTGAACTTTTTAAGTATGCAAATACCCACTTGCTCCCATGAGACAGACTACGACCATCTCCATTACTCACAAAAGCCACAATCCCAGGTTCATTTCCAAAATGATGCATATGATATGATGGTTAAATCAGCTGGCCAGGCTTACATTATACCTTTCAACAAAATATATACCTTTCATAGCTCATATCTTATAAATGTAGTTTCACTGTAGACAACAGACAGTGTGTAAATGTACCCTTTTTCAAGGCAAGGAGCCCAACTCACATTTTCATTGGCTTACTACTGACTAAATCAAGTCCCAATTTCTTAAAAAAAAAAAATATTACACACACATTGAGCTGAAAATGAACAGCCACTCATATATGGCTGTCAAAGATAGGTTTAAAAAAGAACTAATAAATTCCAGTCTCAATTTCAAGAGACCTAACAAGTCCATAGAAAAATTAATATACTAAATAAAACGTAACTTAGTATTAAACACTATTCATTTTTTTTAAGAATAAAGTTCTATAAACTGAAAATCTAGGAATGCAAAGTTTCACATAAAAACAGCAACAACAAAGTCCTACATATCAGCTCCTCAATGTGAAGTTCTTTTGGACACTTACCCAAGTCTTCCTAGCATCTCAAACTCAGGAACTTTGGGTCCACATGTCTCTATCTGCAGTGGTTGGTATTCATAGAGAGCTTCTTCAAGTTTGTGAATAGGTGCTAATGATATATGTTGGCCCTATTAGAAAAATAAAGGAAATTAATACCTTTTATTATTACTTTTATATTTCAGTTATTTATAATCATTTTAAAGATAGATTAAATTCTTGCATTAAAAATATTATCCATAGGTCTGCTGCTCCATGGGTACAATGCATTACATTACTGAAACCCACACTATATAATTAACATATAGTCATTGAGATCTGATTTAAAGGAGGAAAACCAAATCCATTATTAAATTCAAATTCAGCTTTAGACAGTACAATTGTTCCATGTCAATGGTAAAACTCAACAAATACATAAGCATGGTCCATCCTCACATTTTCCTATTTTCATTAAACAGCTTTGACATTTTTGGTAATCTGTGTTTTCTTAGAAGCCCTAATTAGGGAAGAAAGTTAATGAAATTACTCTATGCGAAGCTTTGCCACCTAAATGTCTATTCTCTTAAGTCTTTACAAATTTACTCACCAAATGTGTATTGTTTCGTATCATATACACATATACACACATAAAATAAAATTTTATGCTAAAAAATTAAATGAATTAAAACATCCAAGTATTTTTCTGAGAAGAAAGAACTACTGGATAACTAAAATACAAGGACCTACAGACCATATTTGACCACAAGTATACAAAATAAAGCACCACTCAGCCATAGCACCCCATTACATTGAGAACCTCATATTTATCATATGTCTAGGCATAGAATTCTAATTTATAAAAATCACTATTTTTTACATAGTCCATAGTTTCTTATTCTAGTCCTAGTTCTGTTATTTTTCTTGGTATAGTTCTCATCAATTTTTCTATTTCATACCTTTTTATAAAACATTCTTATACTTATTAATTCCTCCATTTTCTAGTTTATATATTTTTGCTATCGTCATATCCCTTAGTTTCCTTTCCCCCCTAAATTACTAAGATGGATACATAGGACACATGTTAAATATTTTATTTTTTTTAAATAAAGGTTACAACTAAACAGTGATAAAATACAATTGCAGTAGTGAGGAACAACCATTGAAGATGTCTGCACCTGACTCATGGTTTTTCTCTTTAACTAGTTCAGTTCCATGTAGCATCATCCTAGCTAGTTTACAGTTATATTGTTACAGGCATCTCTGACACTGTAATCACAAAAGTACTTCACCAAAAATGGGCAAAGGACTTGAACAGACATTTCTCCAAAGAAAATATACTAATGGCCAATAAGCATGTGAAAAGATGCTCAACATCCCCATCATTAGAGAAATGCAAATCAAAACCACAATGACATACCACTTCACATCCATGGCTATTTAAGATGGCTATTATTTTTTTAAAAAACAAAAAATAACAAATGTTGGTGAGAATATAGAGAAATGTGAACCCTCACACATGAGTGGTGGAAATGTAAAATGGTGTAGTTGCTGTGGAAAGCAATATGGAGAATCCTCAAAAAATTAAAAACAGAATTACCATATAACTCAGCAATTCTGCTGGATATATACTGTAAAGAAATGAAAGCAAGGTCTCAAAGAGATATTTGTACACCCATGCATATTCACAGCAGCATTATTTACAATAACCAAAAGTAAAAGCAATCCAGTATCCATCAAGGGATAAATGAATAGACAAAATAGATATACAATGGAATATTATTCAGTCTTTTAAAAAAAAGGAAATTCTTACATATGACAACATGTATGAATCTGAAGACATCATGTTAAGTGAAATAAGCCATCACAAAAGGAAAAAAGTTCCACTTATATGAGGTTCTTAAAGTAGTCAAATTCATGGAGACAAAAAGTAGACTGGTGGTCAAAGTCTGGGGACAGGAAAGAAGAGTTAGGGGTAAAGAGTTTCAGTTGAAGAAGATGAAAAGTTCTGGAAATGGATGGTGGTGATAGATGCACAATAATACGGATGTACTTAATGTCATAGAAATGTACACTTCAAATGATAAAAATGTTAAATTTTTATGTTACAGGTATTCCACCACAATTTTTGAAAGTGGGTTTTAGATATTCTAATTTCCTCATTTGCTTAGCTAGAATAAGACAAAGGAAATAAAATTGCAATGTCAGAAACTTCATCAATATTATTTTAACCCCTAAGCTCCATATGTTTCACAGACTTTATAAATAAACATAAAACTGTCAAGCTAAATCTTATACTATCACAGAGTAATACAATTTCTGACCACTTATTCTAAGTAGAGAGCATTACATAGGTTAAGAAGAAGCCTGCCTACATGGGATATTTTAAGTAGCATTCTGATATCCCTATTTCTAAGTATCTTCTTCATAAGCTGCCAGGTGCTAAATTCTCCTGACATATAATACAAAATGTCCAGTATTAGTATAACATGGTTAAGCTATGGGGGTAGGGAAGAAGAGGGGAGGGCAAAATACTGCAACAATTAAAGAATCACACTTACTATCATCCCACTAACACTCCATTTTCATTTTAGAAATTAGAGAGCAAGGCCCAGAAAGGATGACACAGAATGGGTATTTTCAAGAGCTGGAATACTTTCCAGGGAAGACAATATTCGAGAAAGACAAGCTTTGTTAAGTCATTAAAGTGTAAACAACATACTAAAACTGATCAATATCAACTGATATTAGCAAAAATATACAACTTACTAAAGTTATGATATCCTATAATTCGAAATTTCCTCTGAAGTTTGTGGAAACATAAAAGATCATCTAACTATAATAGTTAACATTATTTACTCTGTGTCAGACACTATTCTAAGAGCTTTTTGTACATATTGTATTAACTCATTAGAATTCACAATAATTTTATGAGATAAGTACTGTTAACCCTACTTTACAGATGAGGGAACAGAGGGTTAGATATGTGACTGAGCAAGATCACACTGTAGTTAATGGGATTATAAGCCAAGTCTGTCAGATTCCAAAGCTGGTGTTTTACCTCAACTCTTTTATTTATGGATATGAAAACTAATATCCCCAAAATGTTAATTTTGGTCACATAGAGTTAGATTTCCTAATTCCTGTTCAGTGTAGGTTCTACCATACCACAAGGCCTTTTAATATCCTATTTTTAGGCCAGGTGCGGTGGCTCACGCCTGTAATCCTAACACTCTGGGAGGCCAAGGTGGACGGACTGCTTGAGGTCAGGAGTTCGAAACCAGCCTGAGCAAGAGTGAGACCCCGTCTCTACTATAAATAGAAACAAATTAATTGGCCAACTAATATGTATAGAAAAAAATCAGCCAGGCATGGTGGCGCATGACTGTAGTCCTAGCTACTTGGGAAGCTGAGGCAGGAGGATTGCTTGAGCCCAGGAGTTTGAGGTTGCTGTGAGCTAGGCTGATGCCACAGCACTCAATCTAGCAACAAAGCAAGACTTTGTCTCAAAAAAAACCACAAAAAAAATCCATCATCATTAATGTCCTATTTTTAGATAATATAATCACGATTGTTCAATTTAAAAGTTTTAATGTCATTAAGTAAATCCAGATGGTTTAAAAAAAATTTTATACTTTAGATACTTAAAATATCACAGGCTCAAAAAGAAATATTAAAAATTATAATATATATAGAGAAGTAAACATTACCCAGTGGTAGTTCTCCTTACCATAAGAATGATAAAGCAAAGTTCATAAACAATATATAAATTGGCCTTCTAACATTCAATCTATCCTTCCCCTTAAAAAACTGGTGTGAGATAGATGTCAAGTTTCTCAAATCTAAAGCTGGGAAAGAACTTAAAGAACAATGAATTATACTGATTGACATACTAATTTAAAAAAGAAATCACCAACAACCCAAATGATGTTTTAACAAGTTACATGAGGAAAATGTTAGGGTTTTAAGTGATTGGAAGGGAAAGGGTATTTAAAAGTTTTCTAGATAAAAAATGGTTATTAAATGTGGTGTTCTCACCAAAAGAGTAAATGTGATAGATATTATTCTAAATTGTCAGAAAGGAGGATTCAGATGATAAAAGTCAAGTGAAGTATATGATGCATTTGGCTGGGTGCCAAATGATATAGTATAGACTTAAGTGCTATAGAAAATCAAAAGAGAAGAAAAATCAATAAAAGATAGAAGAATAAAACAGTGAAATTTGTACTAGACCTCAGAGGACAGACAAAGTCTGCAAAAGCAAAGCAATGGAAAGGATAGCATTATTACCAGAGGAGTAGGTTGTGGCCTGAGACAATAAGAAAACATAAGGACAGGTACATGGAGAAGTAGCGGTGAGCAGAGAATGAATCAGTATAGATAGCTAAAATTACAGCTAGAAAAGACACCAAAGCTAATTTGAGTTGACACAGTAAGAAATCAGAACCTGCAAAACAATATCAGAATCTTTTTTCTATGATATAAGCAAATAAGTGATAAAACAAATGAATAATGTTCAATACAATAAAAGTGTAAAGATTCTCTAATACACTGCTGGTAATTATGGAATTGCTTTCTTTATGAAAAGCAATTCACTAAACCTTTAAAAGCTTCATATATTTTGACCCAGTCATTCTGCCTATAAAAATTTATAAGAAAAAATGAGAAATATAATAACATTTTTATTCATTTAGGCAAATGAGTATTCATTGTATTATTTTTTAACTTTGCTATATTTGAAATATTTCATTATAAAAAGTTTAAAATAGATCATAGGATCTTTGTTAGTTTTGAAGGAAAAACAGCTATGCATTTATAACAAAGAAATACATAATACTGCCAAAGAAAGAAGAGCCTAGAATCAACTAGGTCAAGTTTGTAACTAATTTAGTAATTAAGGTTGAATAATATGGTCTAGATTTAAGTAGTAACCGAGGAGAAGAGAAAAAAAGAATCATATTTAAATTGCAAGAATTGGTAGCAATCTGTTATAGCTGAGGTAGAAACCAAAACGTAAAAACCAGAGAGAGCTGATTAAGAGAAATAGGAAAACTGGGAAAGGAAAAAGTTGAGGAGATTATAAAAAAAGATAAAATACAGACTGGGAGAAATTATTTGCAAGTCACATATTTTATAAATGACTTGCATCCAGAAT